ATATATAAGAATATTGTAAAGGAGGACGTTATTTTTAAATTCTCGCTTTCGTTTTTACTGTCGCTCATTCGATCTGCTCGGAGCAGCAGTAGCAGCCCACAAACAAAATCTTACTCCTACCAACTGACCAAAGGTGGCAAGGCTAGCATAAAATGGAGAAGTTTGAGTGCGGAAATGTTCTTATGAACCACAGGGGGGCCCAGCAGAGGGAGTTTGGTGCAACAGGTTCCACATTTTCTATTTTTGTTTTTCGAGCCAGATAAAGAAATGTTAGCGCGTTTCACGGCCATCGCCAGAGTAATAAGCCCCTGTGTGACACCTCACCTCGTTTCGCAGGATAGAGCTGAAAGTAGGATGATCAAATTAAAGAAAGCATCAAAAACCAGAAGGCCCGGGTGAAGTCAAAGAGCTGCGAACATCTGAACCTCTGAAGAACAGGGAGATTCAGCCGCTGTTTTCCCCACAACACCATCCCACCTTCATCTGCGATGGTTCTAGTTCAAAACAGAGAACAGAGAAGAGGCAGCGACGTTGCCTTTTAATCTTCTCTGACTGTTGGCGTCAGAAAAGCGTCTGTGGCCTCAGCGTGGATCTGCAACACTGCGAGTCTGTCTTTAAGGGAATTCAAAGGAAGAACAGTGGAGACGGCGCCTGAGAGGAGGAGATAAAAACGATGGTTGTTTTATATCAGGTTTGTGTTTGTGCGATGTCGTGTCGATTTCTGGGTACGTGCTGCAGAACTGCAGTTAACACGAGTCTCTCAACGAAGTCAAACTAAGTTTTCTAGAAAGTTGCGACCAGGCCCGCCCCTATCGATTCGCAAAGCGCGAACTGCGTAGTGGCCCCAAGTTTCTGAGAGATATGAGCAAATTGTGTGATTGATCTAGGTCACTTGCGCAATATGAGATACACGACGAGCACCAGTAATTGCGAGGCAAAGGTAATCGGACACCACTTACACTGTTACGATGATCGTCAATCAACATCTGACCAATCAGCAGTCAGAGGCAGCTGGTGAAGAGACGATACAAGTCCGGAGCTGGACGTCATATACCACCTGGTACAATTTTTGGCAATTTTTTTATGGGTTACCATTGCCATCTACTGGGGAGTCTAGTTCATAACAGCCATAGCTGTTAGCATATTGATAGAATTGAGTTGAGTGAATAAAACTGTGTGTAACTGATATATTTGTTGACAGAGGAAATTTTGAAATACAAGTCTGACCAATGAGCATGTTCCCCTACAACAACAACAACATCGATGATAATGAACCACAGTAGTTACAGCAGTTGAAGTGTTTGGTTTTTTTTTTTACTAGCATTTCCATTGATTGATTTTTATTTTATTTAGTTATTGGTGTTGGTGGATTTCCTTACTGGAAACTTTTGCTTAAGGCCCGTGGTTGGCTGGGGGCAGCCCTGATTATGATTAAATCTTTCTAAAATACAAAAAATGATGAGCAAAAAGTGAATATGTCCTCTACGAAAAACCCCTTGATCGATTCAAATCTGTTCCCTGAAGTCAGTGAAGCTGAAGTGCAGCTTTTGGTTATGATGAAAGATTGTTCCGGCTGTGAAGTTGGTTTGTTCCTAATATTTTAAACCATCTGTCAAATTCATTCCTCTTTGTCTCTTTTTAGAGTCACACGGGGCAACTCTTCACTTTTATACTTCGATCAATTTAAAGTCCAGGAAACAAATCTAGACGAACTGACGAACGCCTAGCATAGCGCGCATCAGATACACATGAAATTAATAATTTAAAAAAAAAATCCTTATCTGGCTTGAGTTCACGTACTCTTAGCTTAATTGCGTTTTGTTCCTAGCCCTGTGCCATGACACACACTGGACTGGAAAAACTGTCCCTGTAGCTACTGCATAAAGACCCGCCCACCACAAAAAACTGATTGGTCTACTAAGCCAATTGGACCAATCAGGATTCTCTTAGTCGTTAAGTTTGCGTTATAAAACATATATGTACTCTAGCTCTCAGTGCTGTGTTCACTGTCATCCGACGCACACTCCTATGTCACTCACGTCTCACAGGTTCTTGAATTCTGGTCCTGTTCTGGAATATTTGGTTAATTTCACGTAGGCCTCGCGTAGACTCCGATAACTCGTGATGTCTGCTAAGGTTGCTTGTACTTTAGCTTTTTAAGTCTTTTCCAAAAAAAAACATGAGCAGTTAGTTGACATTAGCAGCTACTGTAGCCACACGCTAATGCATCTACACCGGGCTATTGACAGCTAATACAAACATGCAATACAAAAGAGTGACTTTTCGGTCGATGACCTCAAAGCCTCTTTCATTTTCCCCAGCCGCACAGAACTTCAAGAGTAACCTTGATTTTGTTAATGTCTCCGTCCTCGTCTAGACTCCTCTCATCCTTCCATTTCCTGGAATTACAAACTCTTTGATTGTTTATTTATTTTTTGGAAGCCTCTCCGGGTAAAAGCTTTGGTCAATTTAATTCAGTTACTTCAGGCACTTTTACTTGGTGAATGTGACTGCACTCAGGCCACTGGAAGAGAAACATCAAATCAGTTCAGTGACAGCAGCGTGGACTGACCAGACCTTGGTCGATTCAGCGACATCACAAAGCTCTACTGCTGCCGCTGCAGCTGCTAATGGGGAGTTTAAAAGCTGCTGGGTTCAGACAGACTAGACAAAAAAAAAAACGCTGAAGAGAACTACAGTAATACTTTGAGATACGAGCATCCCGACATACGAGTATTCCGAGATACGAGCAAGCCTTCGAGCAAATTTTTGCTTTGAGACAAGAGTAAAGATTTGAGATACGAGGACGCTTACAGACGCCGACGCTAGGTGGCCAAGCACTCGGAGCAGCCCACGCCACTTCACGTGTTCGTCGACTTCCGTACGCATTTCCCGCGAGGTTCACGTATTGTGATTCTCTCTCTATTCTATGCAATATTCTTCATAATAGTGACGAGTCCTAAGAAAGTGAGTGGTAAGGACGGTGGTGAGAAGAAGAAATGCACGATGACCATGGAAATAAAGCATGAAATTGTCGATAAATATGAGCGTGGTTTCCGCTAAAGAAAGAATACAAATCGAAAAAAATGAAAAAAAAAAAAAAATGCTGATGTTACAGCAGTTGACGTAACAAGAACTTCAGTCTATGTTTTACACCGTGTATCCACAGCTGGCACATTGGACAGATGGTCTTATTATCTTATATGTCGTATCTTAGAGGAATTGACCCTTCAACTCAGGAAGTGGAGTAAAGCTTTAGGTTTGACCTGGTTCGTTAATCAAAAGAGAGAGAGAGAGAGCAGAGTTTCTCTCTTTTTTACAAGATAGAAAACAGAAAGTGGACGAACTCTTGTCTCCGCTTCGTCTCTATGCTAATGGCTGTTTGAAGTCTTTGTCAGAGATCAGGAAATAAAGAGTGTGAAGAGGTCAGAGCTGGAACCTGATTATTCCCTTCTGCCCCCTGGAGGAAACACAGCGTGAAACGTGTATTAAACTCCTCCGTTGTCGTACCCTTCCCTTCTCCTCCGCCTTCTGTGGTAATATCTTAGAGAATTAAAGTGGTGACAGGTTATCATAATCCAATTTCAGAGACGATCGTGGCGAGAACCTCACAGCGTGGCCACGAAAACCCAGATTGGAATTGAATACGCACTCTATGGATTAAATTATGCTGTGAGAAATAATTACAGGCCTACGTCGGGAAATGTATATTTGCCAGTGTGTGTGTGTGTATGCGTGTTTCTTTCTTTTTTTTTTTTATTGTTGTCGTTGTCGTACATGGAGCTGGCGATGGTTCGTGCTCTCCCACAGATTCTGTCCAATCGTAGCCTGTCACCATCACTGAGGCGAGGCAGGAGGCAGGGACTGTCGGTGTTGATGACTGTTATTGCGTTGTTGTTTCATCGAACAATATGTGAAAAAAAACAAATCATAACGCTACCTTCTAAGGAAGTAAGGCCGTCTTTATTATTCATAATTTCTCATGGCAGCAGCAGCAGCAGCAGCACATGCCTCCAAGGGTTGTTTTTTTTTTCTCTTAAAGGCCACTTTTAAATGAACACATTTGAATAGCAATGTCATTTTTTTGTTCTTTAAACAAGTAATGATTCTTTTCCCTAAGGCGTTTATTTAGTATCAAGACAAATGACTTTATAAAAATATCATAAAAATAAGTCAATCGCAAAAAGGCCTCGGTTTCCTTTAAACTGCTACGTTTCCCAGTCTGAAGTTTGAGATGGTAACTGCGGGGAGTACACACACACCTGAAGTATTTAAGAAAGTATTCTTTCATTGTACTAACTCTGTGACTACGAGTATCAGGGCCTTTGGAGGATAAAAATAATCTATAACTCAAGTTCACGAAGTCGTTACGTTACATGAAAAAGTCATAACATCAGTCGAACGTTTATGAGAATCAAGTCATAAATGTAAAAGTATAAAGTCATAAAATTTGAAACAATGATGCGACTAAGTTGTTTTTTTTTACGCGCTAACCAAGTTCATCAAACAATGATGCGACTAATTTATGTTTTTTTTTTTACGAGCTAACCAAGTTCATACCGCTAGCGCTCAATGACTTTTCTGGTAGGCTACTGTGCGTTGTACCTGTAGTGCAGCTAATGTTAGCTTCGGCCCCAGAGCAGATCAGCTAGTCTGGTCCTGTTCGGGAGTGTGTGTCGGGGGCGCCCAATCACGAAATAGCTAACGTGG